CCTGCGGTGTAGGCCCTGCTGACTTGCTGGCGCCGCGGGGGGCTCGGGCTGCCAGCCGCAGACTGATTCGTTTTCGTCGCTCTGTCTCTCATGGGGCGACCCGTATAGGTGCGAGAGAGACAGCGAGGAAAAAGACCCTCGGAATCAGTCTACGGCCCGCAGGGCGTGCGGCAGCCGGTAGGGCTCTGCGGACTGCAGGGAGGGGAAGGACAGGAGCACGACAGAACTGGGGCACGTCGCACGTCGATGGCTACCCGTACGCCACACGCCCTGCACGCCCTGCACGCCACACCGCAGGCAGGCCAGGCCGACCGCAGGCGAGGCCCGTCTCGGAGAGTCCTGTCGACTGATTCCGAGCAGCGTTGTGTCGCTCTCTCTCTCTCGCACCCCTGCGATTGGCCGCGCGAGCGAGAGAGAGAGGGCCCCGCTGGGGCCTGGCGCCTGGCTTGGCGTGGGCGGCGTAAAGGTTTCCGATATCGGTGCGCGGGGACCGTGCGGCCTGCGGTCGCCCAGCACTGCCAGCACCGCCAGCACTGCGGGGAGGCGCCTCTAGGCCTCCTGTTGCTCGCAGTCGCCACCTAGAACGCCAGGCAGCCCGTCGAGGCCGACGCCTGGGGGCACTCACTATTGACTCGCTATTTTTAGCAGATGATACCTTATACCTCAAACACACGTAGAAAAGTACAAGACGCATTCGGGTGTCAGCTTTTTAATGTTTCAGAATATTTCGAAAACCAAGAATACGTACTGAAAGTAGATACTTTATCACAAGAACATATCGAGGGAAACTGGCCAATAAATGGACAGTGGTTTGAGAGGAAAGTGTGGTGCCAGACGCCAGGTCTGGCTTGGCCGACACCTTGGAGGGCTGCCCTCATTATGGGCGCGGGGGGTGTTGTCTCGCCGCCACCCCGCGTGCGGCAAGGTCACCGACATGGGGGCTACACGGGAGCCCCCCGACCGGCGGGGCGAGGCACCGAGTACAGTCGCATAGCGACTCGTGGCGGTGCCGCCGCCGCCGTAAAGCGCTACAAGTTGTTCAAATTGCATGCCCGGTAAATGCACGGCGCCGCCGTTGTGCGCGTCGTCGCCATGGCAACCGAATGACACCCCTTCCTCCCCCTCTTGCCTTCTTTCTTTTTAATGGGCAGTGACACGCGGCGCGGGCGAGCCAGGCGGGCGGGCCGGCCAGCCGCGCGCTAATGGCTGTCCGCTCTTTTTACCTGTGACCTACCTACCTGCGCTCGGGCGTCGCTGCACAGCCTGTCTGTCAGTCTGTTTGTCTGTCTGTCTGTCTGTCCGTCTGTCTGTTCGCTTGTCCGGCTAGGAACGACGAAAAAGGAAAGTCGCTACCGCTGTTTTGCCGCCCGTCCCGTTTTATTTCCGTCTCTGTGAAACGATTAACTTATTCCTGTCGCGCGCGCGTTGTTCGTTGCGAGAGCGGCGCTTCGTTTGTACCGGCAGACTGATTCCGAGAGCCGTTTTCGTCGCTCTGTCTCTCTCGCCCTCGTGGGGCGTCCCGTATAAGGTGCGAGAGAGACAGAGCGACGAAACGACTCTCGGAAGCAGTCTGCGGGGCGGCTCGGCGGCAATGTCGCTGTCTCTGTCCTTGCGAATTGGCGCGTCCCTGCCGCCACACGCCGCACGGCGCCGCCTTCAAGGTCGGCGTGGCGCGGCGTGGCGGCCCATTTACCTTCGTTATCAGTGCAGTGGCGTGCCCGGCTGCCGCGGCCAGGCGAGGCGAGGCGCCGCCTCCAAGGCGGTGGCCAGGCCGGGCCGGGCCGGTGCATATCGCGTCGCGTCAGGTCGCCGCCACCACACTGCCTGCAGGCTGCACATCGCCGTCGTCGGGCCCTCGGCGGATGCACGCGCAGCGTGTTCATGTGTGTCTGTGTGTGTGGTGGAAACATCGGCCGCGTGTTGCGAAAGCGCTATCTGGCGCCGCGCGGCCGCGGGGGAGGAGTGGTGTTTGCCGTGGCGTCGCGACTCGCGAGGTGCCCGTCGACGCGGACCTGGCCCGACCTGGCTAGCCCAGCGCTCCGCGGCGGCGGGGCGGCTGCGCGTGTGGAAGCCCTCACCGCCCTGGCTGGCCCTGCCCCTTCGGAGGCAGCCGCCTCCCCGCGGCCTTGGGCACCCTGGCTGGTTCTCGACCCCGAGGGGGTGGTGGCGGTGCGCGCGGCGCACTCGGCGCACGCTACGCCCGTCATGGCGGAGAGAGTGATTGCCGTCGGGAGCCGGACCGCCTGGGAGGTAGGCAGTCCCGTTCAACTTGGGTGTTCTGCGGGTCGGCCTACCCGTCGCTTCGCAGGCGCTGGCCTGGCCGGCTCCAGCGCGGCGCAGCCCAAGGCGCAGCCCGTGCCCCAAAGGGGCCCAATCGGCAGTGGGCAGTGGGGTGGGCAGGGTGCCGGCCGGCCGGGCCGGTGTACCTCCGCTACCCGCCACCCGCTGCTGGGCCCCAGCCCGGCCGGCCCGGCGCGGCGGGTGCGCGCTGCGCGGGGCGGGGACGCCAGCACTCCGCGCGCGCCCCTGCCGGCCTGCCGGGAGTAGATCGATTTTCGGTCGAGTACCGTCTGACTCGCTCGCGGGCTGCCGGAAAGTGGGGTGGGGGAGGGGTGGCTGGCCTTCCAGCCGCTGCTTCCAGGGGTTCCAGCTCCAGCCCGGCGGCCGGGCGGCGGCCGGGTGGCTGGAATGGAGGTCATGGGGCTCCCTGACCCCCCCGACGCTCCCCGTCTCTCCGACTCCCCGCGCGAGATTGACACGCCGCCCCTCACGGCGGGCAGCGCTGCGCACCGCGTCGCCCTGGCGGCCTGCACTGCAGACTGATTCCGAGAGTCGTTTTCGTCGCTCTGTCTCTCTCGCGCTCATACGGCACGCCCCATAAGTGCGAGAGAGACAGGGCGACGAAACGACACTCGGAATCAGTCTGCTGGCTGCACGATGAGGACGGCAAACGTCACAGAAAAGAAGTGGGCGAGAGAGAGATGCAGTTTACTTTTTAACGAGGGCGCGGACGGGCGCGGCGAAGGGCCCGCCTCGTCCCGGGTCACCTCTTGACCTGGGTCAGCCCTCGACCCGGGCCGCCTCTTGACCTACAAGGGCACTGAAAGGCTGGAAGGCTGACAGGGGCGGGCCGGGCGCAGCGGGCCAGCGGGCGCAGTCCCGCGGTGCAGCCTGCATCTCCATCACGGTCCGACGATTCGCAAATTTATGCGCCTCGGGCGGACTGCCAAGTCCTGGACGGAATACGGCGTCTCGCCGGGCTTCCAGTGTACAGGACGCGGGCCGGGACGTGCCGCGATTCGGGAAAAGCGCGCTGGAGGGCTGGGAGGAAGGCTCCACTCGGCTGTGGGAAGCGCTGTGCGTTTGTTCCCGAAGACAGCGGCGCGGCCGGCGGGGCGGCGGAGCCATGCCGGGCGTGTCGTTGTCTGTTACGGTCTGTTACGCAATTGGCCCGGCCGAGTGGCTTGCCGAATGCGCTGCGCCCATGCCAGTGAAGGAAGGGATCGCCCCAGTGCGTCCCGCCCCGGCGTAGTGCCCCGCTGCTCCAGTGCACCTCCCGGTGTGTCAGTGCTGTGTGTGTGAAGGGCGTGGCAGTGGGTGGCAGTGGGGTGGGTCGGAGTCTTCGCTGCAGCTCGAGGCGTGGGCGCGGCGCGCGGTGGGGTGGCCGGGGTGGCCGGCCGGGGATGTGGATGTTGTCGCAGTGGGAGACCGGGGAGATCTTTCCGGGGAGGCCCCACTTCCCACTTAAGGGCCCTGCGGCGCGCCCCCGCCATCTCGGAAACCGTTCTCTCTCCCTGCCGCTGGCTGCTGCTGGCATCTCATGGCGGGAACGCGCCGGCGCCTCGGTGAGCATCGGGTGGACCCGGGCGGCTGGGCCCGCAGACTGATTCCGAGAGTCGTTCTCGTCGCTCTGTCTCTCTCGCACTCATGGCGCGTCGCGTTTAGGTGCGAGAGGAACGCAGCGACGCTCGGAATCGGTCTACTGGCTGTGCTCCAGGAGGCGTTCCGAGCCAACTTTGCGCCGTCTGCCAGTCCGCCACGCGTCCCACGTAGCCGTCTGGTTCCGCCCCTTCCCCCTTCTCCGCACCTCGGCGGCTCGGGACGGCCACCTCGATGGCAAGGCGGCAAGGCCCACCCGGCTCGATGGTGCTTAGCTTGTGATCCCGGCACGGCGACGCGGCGATGCGCGAGCGATGAGCTGGGCGCTGCACCATTTGTCAACTGTCAGGACGGCGAGGACGACGACGTCGACGAGCAGGAGGAGGACGACGGTGAGAGCGCGTGCCTCGGCTCGCCTCCCCCGCCCACCTCTTTATCGAACATTCCGATGGCGACGATGGCTGTGATTCAGCACCGCGTGGCGCGTGGCGCGGCGCGGCAGCTGCCACTATTGCTATTGCCGCACCGCGTATTGAGTCACTGCCGCGCCGCGCCACTCCGCCATTCCCTCATCACTCGCTGTATAATCCCATACTGCACGCCGACTCGACGCGGCCCGCTGGAGCCTGGAGCGCGGCCTGGAGCGCGGCCTGGAGCACGGCCTGGAGCCTGGAGCCTGGACGGCCGCGGGGGTTATTTTGTGGCTGGTATGCAGGTAGCGCGAGAGGCAGCGGCTTCTGCTTGCTCAATTGCAGCGTGCAGCTCGTGTGTGCGTGAATCATGTGAATGAGCGCAAGCGACCCCAGCTGCGGTGTTGCAGGCAAAAATTATGGAAACCATAGAAAAGTTATTATTTTTTTAAAAAATCCTTTATTTTACTGCATAGTGCCTTTCCAGGCTCAAGTGTTTTAACCGAGATCTGTATTGCCTTTGGAGGCTGAAACTCCTAAGCAGGCGCCTTTCCGTTGGAAGTGTTTTTCCATGCGCAAGGGCGGATCCAGAGACGGGTCAGGGGGGGAGGGGGGGGGGGGGCTCATCGCCTCCCCTCATCTCTCCGCGCCTGTCCACGAGACGGTTTTGCGTTGGACCGCATGCCTGATGCACTCGTTTGCCTGTTCCAGAACTCGGTGGGGCGGCCGGACGACGTGGTGGCGGCCGAGACGCTGGCCAACCACATTCGCTGCAACAACAGCTTCGTGTACGCGCTGTTCCAAGCGCAGTTCCGGTCCTCGCTGACCTGCCCCCAGTGCCGCTGCCAGAGCAACACGTTCGACCCCTTCCTGTGCGTGTCCGTGCCCGTGCCGCAGAACCAGCGGCGGCCCGTGTACGTCACCGTCCTCTACACCTCGCAGCAGCCCCGCCAGGTCAAGCTGGGCCTCACGCTGCCGCCGCACGCCGACATCCGGGAGCTCAGGGAGGCCCTGGCGTCCGACACCAAGATCGACGAGCAGCACATGCTCATCACGGAGGTGGACGACTTGGGCTTCCACCGGACTTTCTCAGGCAAGTCTCCATTCCGTAGTCCTTCTCGTCGCTTTGTTTGTCTGTCTGTCTCTGTCTCTCTCGCACTTATGGGGCGTTCTACCCTACGTCGGTCGGTGCGAGAGAGACAGAGCGACGAAACGGACTCTCGGAATCAGTCCGCTTTCTGGGTTGGTGGGCGGAGCGTGTGATTGAGAATTGTGATTTGTTTGTGATTGCAGATTCTGCGCCGTTGAATACCATCAAGGAAAGCGACCCAGTGTACTGCCTCGAGCTGCCACAGCTCAAGGAGGCTACACAAGACACTGGCGAATATCTTCTTCTTGTTTGGGTCAACACTCTGATTGTAGAAGACCATGGCATTAGGTGAGAATTTCTCTCTAAAATTAGAAAATAATGACACTAATCAAGCAAAAGTTTTATCAAAATTATTGATTAATTTCTTCATTTGTAGGTTTGGAAGCCCCTACACAATGCAGGTGGGGAGAGAGACGGCTTATGATGATCTCCAGAAACTCCTCCTCAAAGAAATGGCAAATATTTTGCATGATGACGTCTTGACATCTGGACAGCCTGCGTCTCTGTTTCGCATTCGAGTGCTGGATGGTCTCTCTGGGTCATACTTGGATCCGGAAGTAGATCACCCCCTCTATGTCGAGGCAATTGACCAGGCTCTTGCTCTGTGTGAGGAAGATGCTGGGCCGCTTCATGTGCGGCTTGTTCTTGAGTGGGATTTGCAGACAAAGGAGAGGTATGTCATTTTCAACAGTTTGTTATTTTTCTTTTTAAAAACTAATGGAAGGACTACCAGGAAAATTATACTTACTCTTGGTATCAATTTACAGTACAATTGCTGATGACACTGACTTGATGGAGGAACATGCAAGTGTAAAACAACTGCAACAAAGCTCAGAGCAAGGAGGAGCTGTCACCTTGGAGGAGTGTTTCCAGGTACAACTGGAGCATGATAACAGAACCAGTTGCCTATATTTATTTGTGATGAGTTGCAGTCTAACCTTTTTCTCCTTTTTCTTCCAAAAAATTGCAGTTGTACACTCGTGCAGAAGTGCTTGGAACTGATAATGCATGGCATTGTCCTTCCTGCAAATCGAAGCAGGAAGTGGAAAAAAGGCTTGGACTCTGGACCCTCCCGGATATCTTAGTTGTCCACTTGAAACGCTTCCGCCAGTCATCAGCCAAGCAGAGATCTCCAGCCAAACTTACTACCTTAGTCAATTTCCCTCTCTATGGCTTTGACATGACTCCTCATCTCGCCCCTGCGGCACAAGATGTAAGTTCTTTCTTCCACTTTCCAGACTCGTCATCTTCTTGGCTTTTTCTCAACATCATTCTCACACATTTAAATGGTTTCTGTCATCAGAATTCTGGCATGCAGACTCTAGGTGGGCTGGGCTGGTCGCCATGGAAGCGTCCTAGGAGACACCACACTGGATCTCGATATGATGATAATGTCTACGACCTCTATGCAGTGTGCAATCATCATGGTCAAGACCTTCAATTGGGTCACTATACAGGTAAAAGCATTGTGGCTGCTTTGGTAGATTAATAAACAATATATAATAATGATATTTATTTCTAAAACTAAATCTTATTCTGTCATTGCAGCATATTGCCGCAATCCATATGACACTCAGTGGTATCGATTTGACGACTCTCGTGTCGATACAGTGGCTGAGTCTGCTTTAGTCACTCCCTCAGCGTACATGCTGTTTTATCAACGACGTGGGCTTGGAGGTTCAACCTCAAGTTCCAGCTCTGCTGCCTCAAGCTCTAGTGCAGGCTCTGCCGACCATTGGGTGTATCGTATGCCCAGGCCCGCTCCTCCAGCTAGCCGTAGCAGTGAAGAAATCAGCAAAAAAAGTAATTTCCCTATTCTGCTTTCTACAAATTTTGGGTATATTCTGTTACTATAAATTGTTTTGATTATTTGTAGATGGAGAAGTAGAGGAAAAAACTACAAAGGATGAAAATGATCAGAAAACCAACTTCCAACGCAACTCACGAAATTATTCAACTCTTCAGCCAAGTTCTAAACGATCTATCGCCACTGAAACTGATAATAGTGAGCTAGATAGACACTCTGATGATGAAGGTGCAACAGGCCTAACAACTGGTTGGGTAAGTGTTGAAAAAAAGAAGAAACCTTATGTTTTTTAATACTCTTTCAATCCCATAAATTTTCATGTTATTTTATACCCTCTCCTCTTTATTTCCAGAGTGCTCCTAAGGCATCCCCCACAGTAGAAAACAAGAAAGTTGGAACAGATTCCTCCGATGCAAGCCCATCATGTGATGAAAGCGTTCCTTCAGAGGAAAAACAAATAGAGATTGAAACCTGTGAAACCAGCATTACTCGTAAGAGTTCTGACGTGGATGTGACGGAGTCTCGTGTTTAAATATAGCCATCAACAAATGGCTTGTCTCTAAAAGCCTAGTGTAGACTTACATTATCTTGCAAAGCAATTTTGCTAAAGAGGCTGAAGTTCGACTGGTCTCATGACTCTAGTCTTTGACATCAGGGCTTTCTCTTTGAGAAAGTTCTTCTCATATCAGTGTATGAGAAAGTTTAGCAAGCACATTTATTACAAAAAATAGCAAACATTTCAAACTGTTCAAATTTAGATAATATAGATGATGTGTATTTCAGACTTGATTCTAATTGTTTTAACATCTAATTCAAACTTCTTTTTTCTCTTTCCAAGTACATATTTGGATGTCATTACTCTCCCAAACATGCCAAAGTGCTTGTTTGTAACTTCCTGTCTGTGGCTCTTTATGGTAGATGTAAATTTTATATTTTTTACCATAGTTTAAGAGTGCAGTAATTTTTTATCTCTTCTGTGTATGAGGCCTGGAAGGTTCCCTTTCAGCTATGGTATATCTGTATATCTCCTCTCTTTTCCTTTAGGTGTCATGTAGTCGTGTAGACTAGTGAGGCGTAGGATTAAATTTTCCTACCACTGACACTCAGATTGTCTCTGTGTTATTAATTTATTAGTGTCCAGAGAAATATTTTACTATTGTTACATGATTTAAAGAAAATACCTTTCAAAATTGTTACTTCTTTTGAGTGAATGTTAAACAAATTTTGATAGTTGTTTTGTGTAGCTGTTCTCCTTTCAATATTGCTCAATGAAGAGAGAGAAAGTTTGAATGAAAAGTTAAATGTACTCTTCTTGCATACAATTCGTATGGTTTTGAAGAGCTGCTTTTGTTTTTGGTTCAAATGAGGTATCGTTGTGTATTCTCCTAAAGCTAATTTTTGCACACTCTATTGTATCTAAATGGTTTCACATTTTACAAAAGTACTTCAGAAAAGTGCAATTCTTGTGTTTCTACCTTTCTTATAATTTCTTCTCTAAATTTGTATCTATGTGTGTGTATGTGCAAAAGAACACTCACATCACATGTACCTCATGTTTCTATTTAAGACACTCTAAATGATTTTAGCCATTGTATATATTTGAGAGCTTTACAATTCTATTTTCACTTTTTTGTTTCAGTTTCAGATATTTATTGTACCATAAAAGCAAAAGTTATTATTTTTATTATTGATTTTATTTTAGGGGAGTATGTGCTGTGAAGACTGGTTCCATTTTGAGATATTTATCTCAGGGTATTCATTTAAAATGAGATGACATTACAAGTAGCAAGGATGAGAGATTGACCTTAATTTTCAATGTGAATGGTCGTGTTTGATAAAGGGATGGTTGTGATGCAAATGAATGGACAATGTTTTAGCATTTAGTAGTACTTAAGGAGGAGAAGAGAGTAATGAAGAGATACGAAAGGATCTGTTCATGGGTTGCTGGTTCTGTTAAAGAGATGTTCTCACTGTTCATTTGTGTTTGTGCTGTGTTCCTTTTTATCATATGTTGCACATGTTTATTATTAGTGGTTCCTTGTGCTCCCTGTGCCTAATTATTTTGTTGTTATCAGTTTTCTATTTTATATCAGCAGTTTTATGAGTCCAAAGAAACGAGAGGATTTCAAATCAAGATTTGCAATACTCTTCCAATACTTTTAGTTAATGTCTGATATTCATTTCATAAGTGGTCTCATTTCCATTGCCTCTATCTGTTTCCTGTCTTCCCTCTGTGTTAAATGTGTGTGCATCAATATAGATGTGCATCTCCTGCATCAGCAATCATAACAACATCTCATTGTCATGAGACAAAGCATAAATTTTCATGTATGCACAGAAAACGATTGTTTCTCAGGCTGTGCGTGTGATTGTTGAACTTATTGTAAATATTTTAAGACCAAGTTTGTAGTGCAATTGCATTGGTGTAAAATATGTATTATAAAGTCTGTAACAGCTGCGACATAAGCTATCTATGTATGTATGTTAAACTTTGGTACCAAACAAAAATCTCAATATTCATGTTTATTAGTACGGTGTTACAATATTTTGATTAAGAAATAAAGACTGTAACCACGTTACTCTTGACTTGTAGTGCTGACTATCTGCCAAAGAGGAATGAAATGCCTGGCACCAGGAATAACCCTTGTGACGCCCACACAATACTTTTCGGTACTAAATGCCAAATCAAGCAAGATGCTCTAAGTTAAATTGAATTTTTCCATTAACAGACATTCTTTGCGTTTGTCAAGTTACTCAGGTAGTCGAGGGGGAAAATTCCAATCATGCAATGCATCAAAATAAACTCCATGACTCTCCGTTTCAACATCACCCCGCCCCGCAGACCACACCACCCCTCGTACGCAGATGTCAGTTGGGTTGTCTACCTCGAAGGAAACCTAACGGAACCGCAGACAGATGGCACCACCGGCGCCCCTTGCGCCTCGGCCTAGTAGACGAACTATATGGAGTTTCCCGCAGCGTTTGAGTAGACGAACTATGCGCATCCCCTCCACCTCCTAAAACGTGAAAGGTGGGAAGTGGGAGGTTGTTGGTGTGGCGTTTCTAGCAGAAAGATGCGACACTTTCGTAACGTTTGTTTTGTTGCGTATCACGAAGTTTCATAGTTAACATGTGATCAGTCTCTTCCTGTCCTGGCTTTTTACATCACACCTTATCTTCATTACACTTAGTTTCTGAAGTGCGAAATCAAGACGGTAGAGTGCTCATGATTCTGTTTCACTCTTGAGGTTAAGCTACACTCAAGAAGATGTCATGGTTGACAGATTTGGCAGGGAAAGCAGAAAATCTGCTCAACAAAATTGACAAAAATGCTGCCGTTGTCTTGAAAGATAAAAATTCAATAAACGAACAGCTTCAAGATGTTATTTGGAAAACAACGCCACAACAATGGTAAGGAAAGGAGTTAATAAGTGTACAGTACTACAAAAAATGCTTTGTTTACATAAAGTAATGTGACATGATTTGGTTATTAAAATATGTTTTTTTTTCAGGACTCAGGATTCAGATGCCCAAGATGTTTCCTTGTTTGTGCAAGCTTCACCTGTACCACTTCTACCTCGCTCAGCCCCCAGTGGTTCTGCTTCCCCGGCGCCAAGATTGTCTCCATCCAGATCAGACACCTCTCTTCCCAAGAGAAATGATGAAGATGAATTCTTAAGGTTCCTTAATAGCTCTGAGCCATTACTGGTAATTCAAATGACAAATTGTCTTCTGGTCCTTGAAAACACTTTTGTGTTGTTTTTTACAATATATCTTTTCATCTTAGCATGGCACTGAAGAAGCAAGAGGCAGTCCGTCTGGAGCATCTGTGCCATCAGCTGGAAGTTCATCCCCTGTAAACATTGTTGATCTTCCTCGAGGAAGTCATAGTCGAAGTCACAGCCAAGGAGGCATGTCGTCGATGTCATCTTCCTACATAAGCAATGGCCGTGATGACAGCCTGTACCAGCAATGCTTCAAACCTGTTGAGAATATTGAAGTTTACAGTCAAGATGACGATATGAGCCACTCATCAGGACAAACTGCTTTTGCAGAAAATAACTTGCTGAAGAATGAAATAAGATGCTTAAACAATGACTTGGCACTTATGTTGCAGCGGTGTAAAACAGCAGAAAAGGGTAAGGCTTGGGTAATTTAATTTAATTAAGGGAGTTGTCTGGCGAGTTCCATCGGTATTTTTACCCAATGTGTTTATCTTCCTCAGAGGCCAATGTGGCTGCAGCTGAGCTACAAACACTGAGAGAGACTGTGGCTCAGAGAGAGAGTTTGGTAAATCAAATACAAACACTTCAGAGCCAACTAAAAATTAGTGAGACGAGAATATCCACATTATCTGAAGAAAATAGAAAGTATGTGCTTCTCATCCAATTGATGAATCAATTTTTTAAAACCTGTAGAGGAATGTGGTTTAGCTGATTTTCATTTGTTTTACTTCTCAGGTTGAAAGAGTCTGCTTCCTGTACACCACATGAATCAGCAAGTGAGATAACTGCTTCTTTAGAGAAATATAAACAGCTTCAAAGTGAGCATGAAGTTCTTGGTCAAGAAACAAATGAGCTACGTCTTCAAGTTTCAAGGCTTGAAGCTAGTATGAAAACAGCTACTCAGCAAAATGAGAGATACAGGTCACAAGTGGCAAGTATTTCTAGTGAGGCCGAACAGTACAGAGCTCGAGCTACGCGAGTTCTTCAGGAGAAAGAAAAACTTATTGCTAGCCTTCAGGCTGCAAAGCAAACTGAGGGACAAAATAATAGTGACACAATGCTGGATCAAGAACTTGAGCAGATGAGGTGTGTAAATTACTAAATCTACTCAAGTCTTATCTTAAAGAACCTTCTTCTAATAACACCAGGAACTAAATTTTCAGGGAGGAACTGCAACTTCACCGTCAGGAGTCTGCAACACAAGCAAAGCTATTGCAATCCGCAAGAAATGATTTGCAGTTATTTGAACTTCAACAAGAAGAGCAGAGACAGAAAACAGAGGCAGAACTTAATAGACTTCAGAAAATCCTACAAGAGGAGCGGTCTCGAAGACAGGCTGCTGAGGAAGACTGCAGAGTTCATCTTGAGGTGAGCATTGTTTGTAATTGTTATGTAGTTTGGTGTTTTCTATTTTTCTTTTCTGAAGTGGTCACTTTTATCTGTCTGATAGGAGGTGCAATCAGCTAAAACAGAAATGAACCAACAGTGTAAATATTTAGAAGAATGTATACAATCAAAAGAAAATGAAATCTCTAGATTAAAGCAACAGACAAAGGCATCCATAAATTCATCACAACAGAACCCTGAAACGGCAGAGCTTGAAACAAGAGTTCGAAACCTTGCAACATCCTTAATTCAGAAGCAAGGTGCTCTTGAAGCATTGATTGCTGAGCGGAATTCTCTGAGGTTGAAGTTGGAAAGAGTTGAGGTAGCTTCCAAGAAACCAAGAAAATAACTCTGACTCTTTTACCTGACAATATTTCAAATCTAATGCCCCATCACTCTATTCTTATTTTAGGTTAAAAATCAACTAGAACCAGCACTCAATGGGGGGACAGTTCTGAATGTTAGTGAAAGTGAAAATGGTGAGTGAACTTTGAACTTCTGAAACAAGTTGAGTCCAATGTGTTGCTTGTTTTGTTGATGTTTTCTAACATAATTTCTTTCATTTTAGTTACAAGGCAAAGAGTGCCTACATTGCTATTGGAGAGTCCAGGTGACACAGGTGTGGCAAGGAGAGTCAAGAGGGCTTACTCCAGCCTTGATACTCTGGGCATCAGAGTGGGCGTATTTCTCAGAAGATATCCTCTTGCCCGTATTCTACTAATAGTTTACATGGCAAGTGTTCTAATTTTGTTTTCTGCTTTAAAATTTTCATGTTTGTGTTTTTATGTACAACCTTTATTGGTAAAATTGCTTATTTTCATTTAGGTTTTATTGCATTTATGGGTGGCGATTGTGCTGTTCTCATATTCTCCTGAAGAAAATTCACTCAACCGGGTAAGAAGATCTCCTCCTGCGCTTAGCCCTGATGACCCAAAAGGGGTGCAATAGGCAAGAGTTTGCAACTGTCCCACCTAGAATTTGCTGACTTTGTAGTTAATTATTTTTATAATGTAATATTGGTGTGAGGAGGGGCTCATTCTCCACATATTTCTGGGCCCTTCAGAATGTAAGATTGATGAGTATTGCAGTTGTAAAGCTGCTATGTCAATGATGCGACTGAAACAGATTGATTAAAAATACAATTTTATTTATATGGTGTACTATATCATGTATACTCCATTGCAAAATATTTTTAAAGAAGAAAATGATGTCTTGTAATGTGTTTAACTGTTAATGTAAACATTTGTATGCCTGTTTTTTAAAAGTAGACATGCTGGACATGGCTACTATATGTCCCATATGCTGGTGTCATAAATAATAAATATCAAAAGCTAAAACTAACATGGTTTTAATTTAATTAACCTTGAGTGATTAACATTAACATTTCAAAAATAGATATGCCCATGTATTGACATAAAAAGCTAATTAATGGAATAATCAATGTAACATCATTTGACAAAGTACGGATGATTTGATAATGTTTCTACTCAAAGCTTCTCATGTGCTTATCACTCTGGGGATGTCAACCTCCAACAAATCTTCAGCAACCATTACTGAACAGTTGCTGCATTCTAAAGCTGAGCTGGCTTCTGATAGTAAAATGGAAACATAAGAAACCTACAAAAGAAAAGAGAGAAAATCACTAAAAGTAAATAAATAGGATAAGAGGGAGAGGAAATGTATCTTTTAGCACTCACATCTTTATCATCTGATCCTTCTTCATCTAATGTTTGGTCTCCAGTACCAGAAGCTTGTTTCTCCAGTAGCTTTTCTTCCTCTGTAGGCTCTGACTTATAACGTTGACTAAAATGGTATAAGATTAGCTTTCGAACATCAGCTTTCAAGGCATATTCTGCTGCCATACTTGGAGTAGAGTGGCCATTTTCAATTGCTTTCTCTTTCATTGAATCCTCAAGGGTAGCTTCATGAACAAGAACATCACTATTTCTAAAAAAGAAAAAAAAAATAATCATGATGCTATGCTCTTTTGCAAACACTATAACAATGACACTTAGTAATATTTCCACATTACCTCACTAAATCCAGCATTTGGTCAGAATTGTAAGTGTCACCTAAAATTGTTATTTTGCGGCCATGAATGGGGGGTCCTATAACATCTGTTGGAAATATCTGGTGAATTAAATAAGGAAGCAACAGGAACCAAATTCAGTTTGCAAATTTTCAATCTTGATGAAAAGCCGTGGGATAAAGGAAGGATACAATATGTCCTGCTGGACTGGTTATTTCTTTTCCTCCCTTAATAGTAGCATAAAGAGGACCTGGCTTCACACCTAATTCTTTTAATTTTTCAACATTTAGCTTGCCAGGACGAGTGCATTCAGTGATAACATAACCAAAAGTGGGAACTCTATGCTTGACTCTGCCAGCCTGCACTGAAACACTGTCATCTTCAAACCTAGGAAACAAAAATATAATAAATATTTAAGTCTTAAGAGAAATGCCAAGAGCTGGGTTAGCAACAAATGAGTACTTACACTTCCCAAACTCCATTTTCAGCACAAATATCTCTTCCTGGCAACTCTTGAGGATGAGGGGGACCAGTTGCTTCTTGTGTAACACCCCAGGATGACCAGTTTCTAGGTAATTGATCATCCATTGGAATTAATTCATGAACCTGCAAAAATAAGAAACTAGACTTAGAAGGATACTAGCACATTAAATTGTATTAATCAATGAACAAAGTATAGGGAAAGTTACTCTGAATGGGAAAGGGAGAGGAGATCTAGAGAGGCAGAGCACTTCTCGTACATATCGCCTCAAGCCCCGAGGACCGTAGAGCTCTAGGACAAAATCCTTTCGATCCATGACTTGATTGCCAAGCGTACAAATAAGTCCTGAAATACCAAAAAGCTGAAAACGAAAAAATATCTTGATAATTTTAAAAATATCATTGATGATAAGTTATAACTTCACATATTGTTAGCTTACGTGGTCACCGTGCAAATGTGTTATAAAGATCTTTGTTATTCGGCTAGGCCTGATTGAACTCTTTTGAACTTGCACTTGGGAGCCTTCCCCGCAATCAAACAGCCATACAAAGCCATCTGTAAAGAAATGATGGCCCATGAGTAACTACACAAAATAAACATACAAACCATAAATCAGGTATGACATGATGTAACACACCTTCAAACCGCAACCCAGTACAGGAGACAGCCCTATGGGCAGTAGGGTAACACGATGCCGTTCCAAGAAAAATTAACTGCATTTCAGTATTTTTCTTTAACAGACCTAAAGAACATAAATTTCAAAAGGTTATGTTTTCTTTACCACCGGGCCGTTCCAGTGCGAATAACGCGTAGTCGATTTGTCCTGCAAATAAGTCTTGGTAATGAGAAATTTACGATACAAGTGTTAGCCAAACAAGCAGAAGTTCGCAAAAGAAAATATTTGTGACAAATGTCTACATTGTTCCCTTCAAGAAAAGTTGCAAAATGGGGACTTCACACGTAATCGTGAACAAGTTCCTGGGATCCTTTGGGGACGTCATTAATATGGTCTGTTCCACACCAAGGTGAAATCGACATCTGCTGAAGTGAAGTGAACCTACATTGTAAATAATTAACATTTTCCTCCAGATGATGGATTTGGGCCTCCTTTCGTCTCATGTGTTTTCGTATTCTGTGGCGCAAGACATGTCCAATATGCTTGTGGAAGAGAGACATTTACAAGCGTATGTTAAGTTCTTGGAAGAAGCCAAGGTTTGTAGAAAGATCGTAGTATTGTTGTCTCCCTCAGTATTTATTTTTGTATTTCAATCTTTTTGTTTGTTGTCATTTTCAGAACATGCTTAATCACTTAAGCAATCAAATGCCCCACTGTAGGAATAAAGAGGGGTTCGGTGATTTGGTTCTTGGATTTGAAAACCGACAAAACATTGTATCTGATGGTATCAGTGTAAATGGCCCTTGTAACTCAAGTGTGAAGCCACATGAGAATTCTTTCTCTTCATCTTGTGGAACTACAACCTATTCCCAGATGAAAAATGCTCCCTCTCTTGAAGTACCATTCAACTCTGCTACACAGCAGCCATATGGGAATATTAATGAATCTAGATGCGAGATTCCATCAGGAAGATTTTCTCCACTGAATGAGGCCGAATATACTGCTGCTGATACACTGTCTCATAGCCGGCACTACAGTGTACCTGATAATAGCTCTTGTTTTGATATGTCTGCTTCATCAGTAGCCCATGAAAACTCTTTGTCATCTCATGGTGCCACATTCAATCTTCAAAGTCACATGGCAGTGAACAGCCACTTCCAACCAAGCTGTGAAACAGCTTTTGATGGGTCTGCAAATCAAATGATGCGCTTCCGTTCATGCAACGGTGACACATCTCTGAAACAATTTTCTTCATCAGCAGAATCTCAGAGTCATGAATCACAGTTTGTACCTCATGACAAGAGCGAAGATTTCACCTCAAAACCAAGTTGTGAATTTGCCCAACCTAATGATACCAGGGATTCACACCATTATACCTCTCCAAGAGGGCATTTTTCTCCAACCTCAGAATCAAACTGTGATACTATGTATGCCTCACGATGTGAAACAACTCAAGATGCTCATTTCAGCTGTGATACATCCTATGAAACTTCTAACCATTCAGGACATGGGATGCATACTACAAACGTACCTTTCCAAACATCAAGTGAGCAAGCTCTTAATCCTCATTACTCTCATCCTACTATCTCAACTGAAACAAGGTTTGAGGATCCTATTAAAAATCAACACAGTTCTGCATTTTCTATGGTAAATGTAATGAATACAAATCAATATCCGCCTTGCCAAAGCGGCTCCGAAAAAACCCAATTTATTACAAATGAGGATGCGCAGACTAAAATGCATTATCCATCACGCAATGACATGTGCGACTCGTCATTCACTCAGCTGAATGGCAATACAAGTTTTGTTGGGATGAATGATGTTTCTTGTAACACCCATATAACGCCAAGACCAGTGAATGAAAATCGATTCTCACATGTATGGAATGGATTAAGTGATACTGAGGAAAGCTTTGATCAAAGTTCTCCAGTGCCAGCCTCCAACCAGTCCCAGGAAAGCACAGAGTTTGGTGACTTGCAAATGGCTTTTGTGAATCAAGTTGACAAAGACATCTCAAGTGCCGGTTTCAGAAGGAGTTCTGGAGAGAAAGATGGTTTAGGCTCATCTGGAGAAAGCAGCTTTTCATTGCTGCTAGGAACAAAAGATGTAAACAGTTCCTCTGATGTAAACAAGAAAAAGCTATCAGTAAGTATGAATGAAGACGAGGAATTTGAAAATTTTGTGTCAAGATTTGTTCAGATATTTATCAAATCATCTTTTCTCTTCAAGGTTTTAGAGGGAATCAAGCAGGATGGAAATAAATGGAAGTGCACCATATGTGCCAGATTCTTCATAGCTCGTGTGAACATTGAACGTCATTTTAGGGTCCAGCATTTAGGTACAGTATTCTCCTCTTTAAACATAATGCAATAACATCAAATTTCTTAGTGTTGTCTTTGGTTAAAATTTAGATTGATTTCTTTGTGTGAAAATAGGTGAAAAAGCCTTCCCTTGTAGTCTTTGTAACAAAGGATTTTCTAGCAAAATACGTTTGGATGCTCATCTTATGCGACAACACAACTTAAATTGTGAATCAGCTAATCCTTGTAGTAAGTATTGTCAGAGAAAAAATTAAAAAAAAAAAAAAAATTGCCATAAATCTTGTAAATCCAAACTATTCATACTGCTTTCTTTGACAGCTGTCTGCGGGAAACTGTTTAACACTAAAACAGCTCTGAAAACTCACAGCTTGACTCATGTGGATGAAAGTGAAAAACCGTTTGCTTGCAATATATGTAACAAGAGGTTTTCACAAAAAGTTGTTTTAGATACTCATCTTGTTCGTCATGAGGGTAATACTGTAATTTAATGTTGCAGCAAAATTTTACTTAATCAATGATATTAGTGTATTAATTTTTTTTCTTGTATGTTGTTTGAAGGGCCAGCATCTTACAAATTCCAGTGTAAAATATGCAACAACAGCTTTCCAACAAAGGCAAAACTGCAATTTCATTGGAAGAAGCACGAAAGCACACAATTCCCCTGCAAAGAATGCCCAAAGCAATTTTCAAATTTATCTATGTTGCATGCTCACGAGGCAACCCATATTGACTATGACAAACGTCCGTACCGATGTACAAAATGCCCAAAGACATTTACAACCAAGCACAAATTGCATTTGCACAGTCAGGTAAGTCTCAGTACACTGCACAGCTTCTTCATACATTGCATTAATTTTTTTTCTTTTTCTAATCTTAGGAATTTTATATGCAGTTTCTATTATTTTCAATTTGTACTCTTATGTTTCTTCTTGTGTTTCAGACTCATTTAACAGACGGCAAATACCCTTGTTCTGAGTGCTCAGCTGTCTTTAAATGTAGAGCAACCATAGCTGCACATTTCAGAAAAAAGCATGACAAAACTGAAGGACAGGAGTGCTCTAATTCTGATGCTTCATCTACCTTTTCTATTACACAAGCTCCTCCTCAACTTGATTCCTCTGATAAAATTGTTTCAAGGTTAGTCACAATCATTAACTGAACTGTGCTAAATATTTTATGTTTTATTTATCTTATCATCCTTTTACAATTTTTGCTGTTGTTTATGTTGTTGTTACAGTTCTCCTCTATTTAAATGCACAGTTTGTCCAAAAGAGTTTAACCGCAAGTTTAACTTACGTGAACATATGACCAACTGTCATCAAGACATGCCACCTCGATTTTCCTGTGAACATTGCTTAAAGCGATTTAAATCAAAAAATAAACTAAGATTACATGTTGCAACTCACACAGAGGTATGGAACATTTTGTGCTTCAATTTGAAGTGTGTTTTTCGTCGTTATGATGATTTAATTTTAAAACAAAAAATCTATTTCTTCATTCCTAGGAACCAAACCTTGCTTGTCGAACCTGTGGTAAACGATTCTATCGCACAGACTTGCTTCGGACTCATGAGGCCACTCATACTGGAAATAAACCTTTTTCTTGTGAAGTGTGTGCTAGAAGATTTGCTACTCAGTCCATGTTAAGATCACACCAGGTCATTCATCAACCTCCTCCTGAGATAGCAGCCCAGTTGCCCTGCCCAACATGTGGTAAGAGGTGAGTTTAGTCTTCACCTTTTTTCTTGCTAATAGGCATTCAGTATTGAATTACTGAACAAAATGTTCTTACAATCTGAATTTTGTGACAGATTCAAAAACAAAAAGACTCTTTCCACGCATGCAAAATGTCACGCCGACCGCCAATTCAAATGTGGAACATGTGGCAAACAGTTTGCTCGGAAGGTTCATTATGATGGCCACATGCGCACCCATAGTGCAGACCGGCCTTATTCCTGCACTGTGTGTAACCGAACATATAGAGAACGTAAACACAGAGCTGATCATATGCGACGCGTGCATCCTAATGAAGTTCTTGGCGGTGGGGAATTGACTTTGCAGAAATTGATAGATTCCATTACTACGGACGATACTATGGATGGATCTACTGGTGGGGGAGAGTAAGTTAAAAGTTATTTGGCTATCTTTTTTGTTTCCGTTTATTTTTGTCTTTAATGAAACCAAATTATTCATGACCTAATCAATATTAATTCTTTTTTTCAGCTTTGAGCCAGATGTAAACTCAGATGCTCTTGCATCTTTGACTGAGTTATCCAACTCTGGTGTGGGCCATCTGCTGGAAGACTCTTCTCAAAGAAATGCTGAATCTCAAGTTGATGAAACCAGCCAATCTCAGGGTAGCCAATTGAATTGTCATTTTGGCTCCCAATCTCAAAATGTAACTCTTGAATCCCAAGTGGACTGTGGTAATTCGAGTGCTCAGGTTAATCACATGAATCAATCTTATTCGTCTCAGACACATGAAGTAGACCTCGACAACCAAGTCAATCATATAGCAGATTCATTTACGACTCAGTCAGAAAGCCTTTCAATTCTGCAAAATCCATTTCATCATTTGAAGGCTCCAACAAATGACTCAAATCCGTTCAGGTGTTCTGGTAACGGAGGTTTGAGTCCTTTGCCGGAGCTTTCGGATCATCTTCAATCAATGGGCGCTCATACTTCTCTCCATCCAGTGCTCCACGACCATTTTTCTAATAATGAGGATAAAATTATAAAACAGTTGTGAGAGCTCTTTGTGATATGGAACATGCCTGCATTGCTGTATTTGAAAATGCACTTCAGATTATTAAATTTATGTTTAAAAAAACAGTCATATTTTTCACTGCCATGACCATATTTACCTCCATTACCACATTGAATCATGAGTCACCACCACCCCAGCGAAACGTCCTTTGTACGAGCAATGGATCCTGGTAAAATTAATGTACTTTTTTCGGACAAACTTGAGCGCGCCAGGCCGTAATGGTAATGGTCAGGGTAGACCGTCCCGCCGACCCTGTGAGTTGAGCGGGCTGCCTATCATCGACTTGGCGGGCGCTAGCCAGGCTAGCCATCGGCAGCAAAGGATGAGGCTGAACGGTTCGCGCCGTGTGGCCGTGCGCGGCGGCAGGTCCGGCAGGTTGGCAGCCATGTCCGTCCACACAAACAAACGGCGCCATGATGCCGCCCTCTTTTGTCCTTGTCCACAACACTGGATTTGAAGCGCAATGGCCGGTGTTCTGGCGTGGCCGTGCTCGCCGTGATCTTGCCGGTGCGTCGCCGTCGTGCTTGACGGTTCTGCAGTCCTGCACCGAGGCGGGCAAGGCGGGCCTTCCAGGCCGGCCGGCTGGCTCCAAGCCATGCCGCCGCTGCGCCAGCCTCTCCCCATGGCCGCGCTCGCCGAGCAGCTGGTGATCGACATGGCGGCCGAGGCCGGGGAAGGCCTCGTCTCGACGCCCGGGGACCCCATGCACGCCGTCGTCATCGCCAGACTGGAGGTGAGCCTCGAGCTCGCCGGGCAGGGGCCGAGCCATTAAGAAGAGCCGTCTCGTCGGTCTGTCTCTGTCGCTCATAGAGCTCTCCTGAAGGGTGCGAGAGAGACAGCAGAATGGCAAACCGCTCGCCTGGCACTACGTTGCACTACATTGCGGCAGCCCCTTGCAGGCGGCGGTGCGGGAACTGCCGGAGGAGGCCGCCGTCCGCCTCAGCCAGGCCGTGCTCCTGGCGGTGGACAAGGCCCTGGTCTACGAGGAGCTGGACAGAGCCTGGAGCGAGCTGTTCGTGTTCATGGCAGCCCGCGCGCTGGGACCCTTGCCGGTGAGGCCGCGTCGAGGACGTCGAGGGGTTACGGTGGACTAGCAACACCTCCTGCGCAGGCGTCCTCGTCGCCGCAGCTCCACGACGAGCTGGTGTCCGAGCTGGCCTCCTTCGCCGCCCTGTCGGCGCCCGTGGACGAGGAGACGGCGCACGCGCTGCTGACCGTGGCGGCCGCCTGCCTGCCGGACCACTTCACCAAGGTGGACAGCACGGAGCTGAGCGCGGCGTCCACAGCAGCCGTCATGGCGCAGCTGCCGAGGGTGGGACTCTGCCGTCAGGGGGCGAGGCACAGTGGGCCAGAAGACCGGTGCAGGCGGCCAAAACTCTAGACGCGTTTTGAGCTCCAGAGTCGCTTAATGGGACTCGAATCGTACGTACACCAATGGATTGCTCTCCGAACGAGGAGTCCATTGGTGGGGTCGCACGCTCGGTTCGAGTCCCGTTTAGCGACTCTGGAGCTCAAAACGCGTCTAGAGTTTTGGCCGCCTCCACCGGTCTTCTGGCCCACTGTGCGAGGGTTCGAGTCCCGATAGCGCGTCTCAATTTTTTTCATGTTTTGGTTCAGATGTCGCGGCTTGAGTCGCTGCGGCTGACGAAGGCGAACGGGGCCGGCCTGCTGCCGGGCGTGCTGTACCCGCTGGCGCGCGCGCTGCACGCCATGCCGGGCCTGAGCGTGGTGTCGCTGGCGCAGAGCGCCACGGACAACGTGCTGCGCGTGCTGGCGCAGGCCTGCCCCGACACCCTGGAGGAGCTGGACGTGTCGCGGAGCTCGGCCGTCACGGACAAGGGCGTGACCGCGCTCACGGCCTGCACCAACCTGCGCGTGCTCAAGGTGCAGGGTGCAGCAGACCCGCTTCGTCGCTCTGTCTCTGTTGCGCTAGCGCTAGCTCGGCCGTACGAAAGCGAGACAGAGCGACGAAACGATCCTTGGGAGTCAAGCGGCAGCTGCATTGCGACGGCACCCTGAAGGCGCTCTTCTGAGGGCAGTTGACGCGGACTGCGGTGACGGCGGTGGGCGCTGAGCGCGTGCTGCGGGGCTGCCCGTGGCTGCAGAAGCTGGGCAACATCCCTGACCTGGGGCGCGCGGTGGCGGCGGCGGCGCGCTCCGAGGCCGGCAGGGTCAGCGGCAGGCGCGGCTCGGCGTCGGCCAGGGGCAAGGCCCGCGAGCGCGCCGGCCAGGATGACGTCAGGGAGCGCGGCGAGCTGCAGCTCAGGTCGTTCCGCAGCGACCGGCCGCCGCCGCTCGACGTCCTGGCGGAGCACTGCCCGCGCCTCGACGACATCACCATCTGCCTGTCCGAGGACGCCGAATACTGTGAGCCTCTGCCTGGCGCTGCCGACGGGGAGACGCGCCAAAGTGACGACGGAGTCTTTGTCTGCCCAGACCGAATGTCGAGCTTCGGCGCGCTGCACCGCTCCGTGCCGGGGCTGGCCCGCCTCCGCGTCACCTGCGACGACGGCGTGGCCAACGACGTGATGGCCGAGCTGCTGGACTGGCCGGGTCAGGCTCCATTGTGCGGTACTTGAGGGCCGGGCTGGCCGGGCTGGCGGGGCGAGGACGCTTGCGACAACTGTTCCCACTGTTTCCGACTCCCAGAGGACGCGGACGACGCTGCCGGCGCGGATGACAGTGGCGCGACCGCGGACGAGACCAGGTGGGAAGTGCCGGGGTGGCGGCAGGTCTTGGCGACCTCGCGGCGCACGCCCCGCCGTACTGATGGACCGCCACGCCACCTCCTGTGTTCCCCAAGGTCCTCAACGCCCTCGGCAGCGCCGGACCCACCGATGCCACAGCGGCTCGACAACCTGGTCGAGCTCAAGCTGTGCGGCACGGTGCTGGCCGCGTGGGACCTGCACGTCATCGGGCACGTCTGCCCGCGGCTGCAGCAGCTCACCCTGGTGTCCACGCCGCCCAGCCCCGACCCGCGCCACCAACGCCCGCTGCGCCAGCCCCTGCCCGAGGTGAGCCGAGACAGTGAGACAGTCGTCCCCAGTGTATCTTCGCGCATCGCTGGCAACCACTCACGAGTCCCTCCTGCAGGACGCGTTCCGGAGTCTGCGCGTCCTGCAGACGGAAGACCTCCTGCCCGAGGCCGAGCTCCTGGTCCTCAGCCGTGCCGTCGCCCTGGAGGTAGGCTCCTCCACGCTCGATTTCATTCTACGCCAAATTTAGGTTGGTCGGCAGTAAACCGAGAGGGTATCCGGACAAGTGACCACAGTTAAACTGACCCAGGTACAAAATGACCCCTCAATCATATTGACCACGACTGCGTAGTGAACCCATTTTAGGTTGACTCCACTTTTCATTTTTTAATTGTGTTTTAATAGACCAAACAGCGATACCAGATCTGGTATCGCTGTTTGGTCACGTCCATAAAATGAGTATTGTGCTCTCCACCTATTATGGCCGAACATAGTCCATCATCAAAAGTGCAGCACTAGTCATTGTGCACAAACGTCTCATCACCTTTCTTCGACAAACTTCGATGTTTTTTTTCAAGTGCCGTGGTGAATTTTAAGTCCCGCAACCGTCACTTTCCATTGTGGCCGAAGAGCCTCTTTCATGCGAGGGAAGCCCAAAAGGTTCAGATCCAGTCACAATATTTGCATGGCATAGTTCATGAGAATCAATTCATAAATCCCTTCTATTATCGTTCGAAGGTACTGTGAAAGTCACTTTCCCAAAAATTGCTTTGAAATACGTAGCTTGCAATGGAGGTTTCTTAGCCTATTAATCTTGATTTATTTTCGCTCCTGGTCAGTTACATGTTAAAAGGACCCTTTTTATCAACGTTTTGACATCGACTTTCTAAGGGCCATTTTCTCATTAAACTTAAATAAATATTGGATTTTTTGACTTTTTGTGGTCAGTATTTAGGGGTCAGAGTGTGACCAGTTTGTACGAGCGGTCAGAGTACGAAGTGGTCACTTGTCAGTGGTGAGTGGGGGACGTGGTCAGTGAGAGTGTGGTCGGCTGTCCTAGACCCAACCGAGAGGCCTGCCACTGCCTCGAATTATGTACAATGGAGTGTGAGTGTGGTGATTTCCCCAGTGAGCTCAGCCGTATTTACACGCATATAAGCCGCACCCTTTCGCGCCTTTTCCGGCCCTCTGAAATGGCTTATACGTGGGTGACTTATAAAGGGAATTATAGGACTTTTTTTCGCATTTTGGAGGGTCATAAATGGGGTGCTGCTTATATGCGGGGGCGGCTTATATGCGTGTAAATACGGCCTTCTTCAAGGCATCTTCTTCGGGTAAAATCCAAGTGAAAGCGAGTGAGTGTAGGCTGGGCGCCTCCAATGAGGGCAAGGGGCGGCAGTGGGTGGGCCCACACTGGTAAAACAAAGGCATAAAAATTACGCCATAATCTTTTACGCTCTTGCAAGGGCATAATTCGTTTTATGCCCTTGGAAAGGGCGTAAATGGTATAGGAATTTCAAGCAAAATTTTAATGCCCTTCTCAAAGGCATTAACGATTTATGCCCTTTAAGGGCCTTTGTAAATGCCTTTATTTCACCAGTGCATTGGGTGGGCCTGATGACGGACCCCTCTGCCTGCAGGAGGTGTACATCAGCCACTGGGACCCGGGCGCGCGGCGCATGAGCTTCAGCGAGGAGGCGTTCCTCGACGCCCTGCAGGGCAACCCCCTGCTGCAGCTGCGGACGTTCTGGTCAGCGTTTGCAGTGTAGGTGTCTGTGAGAGCTGGACCGGTCGTTGAGACGGATCGCCGTTTACAGTGTGGACGAGGCGCCGTTCCTGGGCGAGCGCGCCGCCTGGCGCCTGCTGGAGTGCCCCGAGCTGAAGGAGCTGGCCACGCTGCGCAGCTGGGACGGCCTGGGGCCCGGCACGCTGCAGCACCTGCAGTCCGTGGCCGCCTACAGGAACCTGGACGTCATCATCCAATGAAACGGACAAGGTGTCGTAGCGAAACACTTTTTATTTTGTCAACGAAAATGAAAGAAGGATTAACGCTGCTAGGTTGCTACTCTGAGAGGGGTACACTGGGTTTACAAAGCGGTACGTGGAAGCTAGTCGGAGGATTAAGGTAGATATGTATAGGCAATTGGACTGGAAGGTGCTAGGCGAGGCCTTTTTGCAAGGCGATAAGGCTCATGGTAGGAATAAGACTCACAGCGTCAAGCCGCCAAGTCGTCAAGCGGACCCATTTTCCATGATACGGACCCGAATATCTTCCCCAATATTTCGAGTTCGACAGGGAAAATAGCAGAGAGCCGTTCTTTTTTCTTTGCGCTCTATGAACGCACCGGAGAGGAAACAAAACTAGCAAGTATAGAGAGCTAAAGATAGGAAAATAACTCTTACATATGGAAGAAGTACATTACATATCATGATAGAAATGCTAAATTATAGGAGTACAATACTAGAGGTGGTGGGTAGCTATAGCTATCTTTATCTTTACAAGAGATCATTTACAAATACATAGCAAAGGTCAGGGCGTAGAAAGGACTGAAATGTACGCTTAAAGGTTAAAGGTTTGTATGCCGCACACAGACGAGCACGCAGACACACACACACACGCACACGCACTCACACACTGACACGCGGTCACCCATGCACTTGTAGCGTGGGGCCAGTGGAGCGACGCACACAAAGATTGAGCAGAATAAGATAACAAACGTCAACACTGTGTTCGTCTCTAGGATGGTATCACAATTGTAGCGAGAAGAGCGTTCACAAAATGAATTGTGACAGGGAATGGACCCTGGAACCCTGGTCGCACTAGGTTACAATCTGAGTGTCCTCGGTCCTCGAGTCCAACTCTCTGGCCAATCCGGGCCGCGCGGCACTCGAAAGAGGAAATCGCATAAAATCTTAAAAAACTACTCGTTGAAATCAGAAAATCTTCCCCAATTTTCTGATTTCGTCTTACAAACCTACACGAGAATAGTAATATAAATACGATAAAAGGTAAAAAATAGAGTAAAAACGCAGTGGTTACAAGTTAATAATGAGTTAAAATAGAGTGTTTTGTTTAGAAGATACAAGTATGTGCATTAGATTACATACGACAATAGAAGAGAAGTATTTACGTTGATAAGTTTAGTAATAATGTAATGTAAGGATATCTTGGGTCCTCAAACCCTGTAAAATCTTAAAAATACGTAAAAGAGAAAAGCTGGCTCCGCTGATTTCAGCTGAAGTTCGTTTAACACGCTAGGCACACTACAGTTAATCGTCAACTCTGAGTGATGCTGATCGGCTACTTCGTTTAAGGACCAATCTAGCACGGAAAATATTTCCCGTGTGCGCACTACGGTAGTAAGAGTGAAGAAATAAGTTTAAGAAATATACGTGGGGAAAAATCGGTGCTAACGTACAATAGACGTACAAACGCTAATCAACTTTACTGCTTTAAGTGAGTTATGTTTAAGTATTCGCGATCACCCCTTTACCACTAGATGAGATTTGATGTAACCAAAGACCAATTTGGGGCCTCGCGGTCCCCAGCAGGGTCCCGCCCCGCCCCGCCACGGCCCGGTGTCGTGCGGCCAGTGCTGCGCTCCACCTCACACCCACTTAGTGAATTGAAGCCGACAAGATAACACAAAGGCAATCGGTGTGGTCTTTCTCCGCCAATAATAGGAGAATGCGATGAGAGGCGTTTGGGGCTCGCCTGGGCGACGAACGTGCAGTGCAGCCTCTCAACTATGAACGCCGCCCGAGATACGAGCTGCTTGTCGAAAAATGACGCAGTGAGTCCGGCAACTTTCGGACCGGAATATGCATTTGAGTCTAAATGGTTTAAGGCTCCCGTTCCAATGAGATAGGAGAGAGCTAGCTTAGGCAAACGAGACAGGAACTAACTAATGAGTCGGTCAGGAACTGGACTGAGGCGAAATGCTGTTTTACAGAGCCAGAGAAAAACTGCTGAAATGCTTTAAAGCTAAGTTCTCTTTAAAAAACAAAACAAAAAAACAACCCTTGGCATCAATACTGTGTTTACAGTGTATCCAGGCGTGCTTGTATAGGCCATCATTTGGGTCAAACGCTTCCCACCCGTTTCCCCTCAAAACAAGAAACAAGGCATGGTCCCTTTTACTCCCGCACCTCGACACCAGACCAACCGATCAATACATAAAAATTAAAATAAATAAAGTACCCGGGAAAACAACGACATGTGGTTTTGCCTCTCTTTTTTTGTAAATTACACCTCTAGTAAACGACAAACAGAATAACATACATGTACAAAGTTTGTGCCATTTAAAGTTTTAAAGTCGCCGCGCGGCCAGCAATATCAGCAAAGCGGCTACACTTGACACGAATTTGAACTCCGTGGTAAAAATGGCCCATCACACCGCCACCTCCAGTGGCAATAAACAATATTATGGAATCTCGCCTCAAAAATTATCAACAAAAAAAATTGAAAAAACCCTGTCAAAGAGAAGCTCTGTGTGACAGATCCTTCCAAGCCTTCAGATGTATTGCAAAATCACAGCGTGTTTTGGTGTTACATATTTACCACAAAAATGACCAAAAGGTGCAGCTGCATACAGCGAATTTGTACAAGACTCCGTTGTGCTATGAAAATTTGGTCTAGGGAATCCCCAAAAAATCACTTGTCTATGGACTGTTTGATTTAGTTGAATGTTTAGACGAACCAAAATTCTGGTCGCAAGAATATGCGAGTTAGTCTCCGTTCCCAACATTATTATCCACTATCACTAGAAGAGTAATACTCATGCTAACAAAGCTTAGAATTTCACTTTAAATTGAGAAAGAGAGTAGGACAGTCGAGACAGTATTAGAATTATTGCTAATGTAAGCACGCAGAGCCACAGAGGTGTCATATTTTATCATCTCTGAAAAAATACTCCGTCGTCACCACTCCACCACCACTGTCCCATAAGTTTTGATTTCCTGTTTCCTTAAACATACCTGGTCAGAATAATTCTTTGTTCCAAACGCTCCCCGACCGAATGAAAACCAACCCTGAATATTCCTTTCCCTTTTCCCGTTTGGAGCGCTCCAGTGACGCAAAGATGATCCAAAGAAAAACGTTTCGCAATCCTGCGCGGGGATTCGAAACCTAGGCCCGGGAGTGGGGGTGTTCTTCCTCTTGGTCCTGGACCTCGACGGTGACGCTCTCCAGGATGGGGGACTGCACGCTGCTGCCCGCGTTGAGCATGGTGGGCGACTTGAGGGACTTGGTGGAGGTGGCGGAGGCGTTGGAGCTGCCCGCCGACTCGGGCCGAGAACCATGGCGAGACCCTGCAGGCAGAAGGCGAGGCGTGAGAGGGCTGCTTAGCACAGTGGGCCAGAAGACCGGTGGAGGCGGTCAAAGTCCCGGACGCGTTTTGAGCTCCAGAGTCGCTAAATGGGACTCGAACCGAACTTGTGACCCCACCAATGGATTGCTCTCCAAACGAGGAATCCATTGGTGGTGGTGGCGGCGGTGGTGGTGGTGGTGAGGGGGGGTGTACATGTTCGGTTCGAGTCCTGTTTAGCGACTCTGGAGCTCAAACCGCGTCTGGAGTTTTGGCCGCCGGCGCCACTGCTTCGCCACTGCTAAACCGTGCTTGACCCTGCCGTTCCATTCTGCCGCACAGCCGGACGGGCCGGACGGGCGGGGCGGCTGACCGTTGGCGCCGGGCGAGTGCGGCCGCAGCGAGGCCATGGAGGGCTGCCTGGACGGGCCGCGCACCGAGCCGCGCGACCCGCGCCGCTCCTCCTTGTGCTTGTCCTGCTTGAGCAGCGAGGCGTTCATGAGGCGCGGGTTGGGCGTGTTGAAGATGGTCCTGTTGTCGCGCCAGCGGGCCCTGCAACGGAGAGGAGGCCGTTGAGGATCAGTCGTACCAAATAAAATGTATCTATACTATTGATAAAAATGAAAACAAAAAATCCCTGCATACATTGATTAAAAAAATACCTTTCATAGGATATTAATTTTTATTGAAGACACGGTAAGGGTTCGTCCACTTATTACTGTTTTGTAAAAATAGCTCGGTCTCGGTCCTTGTAGTGACCGCTGATCGCGAGAGCGACAGAAAACGTGGACGCGAACGGGTCCACTACTCTGGTAATCCAGTGTACACTTCGATCGTCCATAGTAACCATTGGCAATCTCATGCTAAAACTTTATATTTTCGCTGTTTTTATCGGCTTTTGAGGGTTTTCTTATGAAAAAGGGCAAAAAAATGCCCCTAGCTGACCAAAATTAGAGAGTTTTTTTTGAGAATTTTTGTAAGTAATCACTATTAATCAGTAATCCTGTGTACACTCCTGAGCTAAGTGGTGCACCACTCGACGCGAACCCTCCGCCGTTTCGGCGCGGTACTCACTGGCTGAAGAGCCGCATGACGACGCACAGCGTGATGAACATGAGCCCCATGCCGACGAGCACGCCGATCATGGTGGGGTCGACGGGCGGCCCCGGGGGCTCGGGCTGTTGCATCACTGCAACACAAACACAATCAGCAAACCGTGCAAAAGGAAAAAGGAGCAGCAGCAAAAAAGGGTCGCGATCCGATATGGAAAGTGGAATTCAATTGGTGCCATTGAATTGGGATCTCTGTAAGGCTGCGTGGTGGCCGGGCCGGACCGGGCCGGGAGCGAGGCCAGCTGAAAACCCAGCGGAAATCTTGTCCAGCGCCACGCAGCCCCATCTGTTGTCCCAGCAAGCGGGACATTGGCAATCTGTTTGTTCTGCGGGAGGGGCAGAAAAGGGGGCCCGGGGGGCCCGCCGGGGGGCGAGGCGCGGCGAGGCGGGACGTGTTACGGTGTGTCAAGCAGCCGCCGCTCCAGCGGGCACTCCAGCCGGCACTCCAGCCACTCAGCCGGCGACACCGCATTCAAAGGGGCCCCGCTCCCTCGGACTTTTGCGCTTGATTCGCGAACCTCATTTCGAGTGGAACTCGTTTGTTTGGCGAGGCGTCGCGTCTGGGTAATCAGGTTGGGCGTGACAGGCGGGCCGAGCCAGGCGGTCTGTGGCGTCTGGGAGTCTGTGAGACTCAATCGGGCCGAGCCACCGCTGTTCCAGAACGACCAAAGCCACAGTGTGGCAGCGGGATGCAATTAGGCAGGGACTCCCTCTCAGGGACTGACTCGCCACACTGTGCCACACACACAAGGCTGGGCTTTGTGGTTCGATCCTGCTTTGCCGAGTACTCGGCTACACTGCCCCCGGCCGCTCTGGCCGTCCTGGCGGTGCACAGTGGGCCAGAAGACCGGTGGAGGTGGCCAAAACTCTCGATGCGTTTTGAGCTCCAGGGTCGCTTTAAACAGGACTCGAACCGAACGTGCGACCCCACCAATGGATCGCTCACCGAACGAGGAATCCATTGGTGGGGTCACACGTTCGCTTCTAGTCCCATTTAGCGACTCTGGAGCTCAAAACGCGCCCAGAGTTTTGGCCACCGGCGCCGGTCTTCTGGCCCACTGTGCGGTGGAGGGCGTGGTACTCTGACAAAGGCGGGGCGCGCGAGCCGTCGCAAACAGTTGACTGCACCGAGCCTGGCCTGGCCGCGGAGCACGAAGGGCACTGCGCACTCACACGCGACATGCACGTGTCGAAAGGATTTTGACCCCAGCCTGACTACGAGTCTTGCCTGGAGTCCAGGCTCAGGTTGGCAACCCTTTCAACACCGGCGTCCAAGAGACGCTTTCGTCGCTGTGTCTCTCGTGCACTCATGAAGCTTCGCGTACGGGTGCGACAGAGACAGAGCGACGGGGACGACTCTCGGAATCAGTCTGCTGCTGCCCTCCACCTCCACGCCGCCAAACAGGCCCCGGGCCGCGAGCCTCTGATTGTCAGTCGGCATTCTAAAAGTGCGCGGCGTGAACTCTGGCAGGCGGCGGGCAGCGCGCCCTCGCCGACTTGGCGGCCGTCCAGTGCCCTCCCCGAGGGCTTGTGCGCCCCCGCGGCCCCGCGCCCCCTGAGGGGCCGAGGCCTTGCCAGAGGCCGTCAGGAAGGTCATCGCGGCGAGGATTGCAATCACAACGCGAATCGCAGCACTGCCTCCTCGAAGCGGGCCGAGCCGGCGTCTGACGGGAAGGATGGCGGACGTTGGCGTTCAGTAGGCAGCAGGGTGCAGCAGCAGACTGATTCCGAGAGTCCTTTACGTCGCTCTGTCGCTCTCGCACTCATCGGGCGTCCCGCGTAGGTGCGAGAGAGACAGAGCGATGAGAACAACTCTCGGAATAAGTCAGGGCCTCCATTTGGCCGGCCGACGCGGACTCGGACTTACCCACGCACTCCACGTAGCCGTCCGCGTTCACGACGGGGGTCCTCTCGAAGCGGCAGGCGCAGCGGCCGTCACGGCACTCGGTGGCCAGCAGGTGCTGCTCACACTGGTCGTTGAAGAAGCAGGACTCGTTGACGCCCGCCGCTGCAACAACAACACGCACGCCGTCAGACAGTGGCGTGCACAGCTCGAGGTCTCTGGAGACCTAACTTAGACCAATGGTACCAGATCCTTCATTGAGTGAATGAACTTATTGAGAAGAAAAGCGATGAAAGCGGGCACGCCTATGCCTAGGAGTCGAAACCAGGCCCATCTCGGGGTGGAGTCGCGACTTCGAATCGCCGATGGATTTCCGACTGGGACGAGCGATTCAGAAGAGCCCGGAAGAGCCCTTTCGTCGCAAAGCCTCTCTCGCCTGCTTGCGGGATGCCCCATGAGTGTGACAGAGACAGAGCGACGGTGAGGGAATAGGGATGCGAAGGCGGTAAATTACCCGGTAAACTTACGGTAAATTACGGTAAATAACCGTAATTTACCGAAGAGCCGAAAAATCGGTAATTAACGGTAAAATTCGAATTTTATCGGTATTTTGCAAAATACACTTTCAATTCCCCATATTAATGATAAAACGCTTATTTAGAAACGCTCAAGTACTTTTTCTGAAAAGGGTGACGCACTTAGGTAAGCAAACCTGCTACACACCTATTAAAGGTATCTTGCAAACGTCTGTAGATACGTAGTGTCGGCGACACTACCATTTGATCAGCGACAAAAGTTCACTCAACAAAGCGTTTCTTATATTGTACATTGATCTTCAAGAGGTAAATGTTCTGAACACTTGAACACTCCGCGGCATGTCCCTTACTCGAAGGGATATTTCGCGGCCCTTTGACAAGGGAACTGTCCCTATCCATAGGGACTGGCCTTTTTTTTATGGGGACCGTCCCTTTACCAAGGGGCCGCGAAATATCCCTTAAGTTAGGGACGTTGGTGATTTTTTTCCCTTGGAAGTGTTTCTTTTGAACTTCTCAATAGATTTAATCATTTCTGTCCCAAAAAAACCATGCTTACTACTTAGTTTCAACAAAATCATTAAAATATAGCACACCATTTTAATGAAACGAATTTTACCGTTTTTTACCAAAATTACCGGTAATTTACGTTAATTTACCGTTTTTTACGTAATTTTGAAAATTACCGGTAATTTTGCATCCCTATGAGGGAACGGCTGTTCGGAATCAGTGTGAGTCTGCACGCACTAATGGCCCCGCAAGGCCAGGCCTCGGGCCAGGCAGCAGGGCAGCCAGGCTGAGCCTCTGAGCCAGGCGCGGCCACGGGGCCAAAAGGCACCGGCCGTAAAAAGGTCTCGGCGGGGGGCGGCCCGGGGGCGGCCCGGGGACGCGGCCTGCCTGGGGCCGGGGCAGTGGCAACGCCCCAAATTGTTTCTACCGAATCGGCGGAACGGTGCGACCCCCGCCCCAGAACAATACCGAGTGTTTGCTTTCACTATCACCCTCAATTAACCGCCTCGTCCTGCGCCTTGCCTTGCCCTGCCCTACCCTCCCTGCCCTGCCTCGCCCTGCCCTGCCCTGGCCTGCCTCGCCCTGCCCTGCCCTGCCCTACCCTCCCTGCCCTGCCTCGCCCTGCCTCGCCCTGCCCTGCCCTGCCCTGCCCTACCCTCCTGCCCTGCCTGCCTGCCCTGCCCTGCCCTGCCCTACCCTCCTGCCCTGCCTGCCTGCCTGCCCTGCCCTGCCCTGCCCTGCCCTGCCCTGCCCTGCCCTGCCCTGCCCTGCCCTGCCCTACCCTCCCTGCCCTGCCCTGCCCTGCCCTGCCCTAGCCTGCCTCGCCCTGCCCTGCGGACCTTCCCTGCCCCTCCCCCTGCCCCTCCACGGCCCGGAACCTTGCTACCTAATTAAGGAACAGGTGTCCTGCTGCAGGCGGGGGGCGGGGCGGGGCGGGGCCGTGTTTTACTGCGAGCCCCCGAGTGGCCCGGCGCGCCGCTTTTTGCAGCACGCGCACCACGGCCGGATCATTCCTCCTCGTCGTGCTCCCCCTCCCCGAGGCCACATCCCGGCGACATCCGCCACCGTGTGAGGATGGGGCTGGATTCGCCCGACGGCCTCCCCTTCCCGCCCGGCGGCCGGACGTAGCAGCTGCGGCAGGTACCGGAAACACTTTGTGGTAAGTGACCCCCACCACGGCGTGCAGCGCGGCCCGCAGAAAAGGGCTCGCCGAGGACATGTTCGACACGAAGCAGCCCAGCAGCGCGGATGAGCGCGACCCCCGCCAGCACATCCTGCTGCCCCCACCCCCACCCCCACCCCCTGGCAGAGTGGTGGCCCGGGACGCAAAGTATATGGGGCTGCGTGGCTCAGCCCGACTCGGCGTGGCTCGGCTGCAGCCTCCCCGCTCGGCTCGGCTCGGCGCCGAGTCAAGTGCTCGCTGGTAAGAGTAGCCATCACGGATTCATTGCCCGCGCACGGCCGCCACGACACTGTTCCCTCCTCCCCTCCGCCTCCCTCGTACTCCCCCGGGGGTCCGCGGGGCGCCTAATTGTGGCGTTGGCTACGCCGGGCAGCCAGGCAGGCAGCCAGGCAGGCAGGCAGCCAGGCAGGCAGGCAGCCAGGCAGGCAGGCAGCAGGCAGGCAGCCAGGCAGGCAGGCAGGCAGGCAGCCAGGCAGGCAGCCAGGCACGCATTACCGGCTCGCTGAAAAGGAAAAGGCGGCGCGGCGGCGCGACGGGAAGAGAATGGAGAACGGACGAAAACTCGAGTAACAAGCCAAACTTTGGGCAAGTTGTCGCCCGGGGCGGCCCGGCTAGCCAGCCAGGCAGGCAGGCGAGGCGGCGAGGCGAGGGTGGCGCTGGAAGTAGTGAAGTCGCGGCCCGCCGCCCGGATTCGTGCGACACCAAATTGCCCTAATGTGGGGATTACGTGATTAGCCTTAATCTTCCTTCGTGACTCCCCACGGCCACACTTTTAAGTTTCTATTATTTTTTCCCCTTTTCGTCTGTACTTTGGACCGGCTCTCCTTGTTTTCCGCCATTGTTTCTCTCTCGCTGGGGTGTACTCACGCTTGCCGCACTTGTCGATGTGGTTGGTGGCGGGCAGGTCCGGCACGCATCGGCAGGTCTTGGCCTTGGGGTCGCACATGGAGCCCTGGAAGCGGCAGTCCGAGTTGGTGTCGCAGCGGTCGCCGAACTTGCCCACGCCGCGTTTCACCAGCACTGCAACAACAGGGAAGCAAAACCATTTGGTACAAAGACAAAGCCGCCGCCGCAGGCAGTAAAATGAAAACGTGACAGCAAAGGTTTCCAGCCGGGCAGACTGCTTCCGAGAGTCGTTTTCGTCGCTCTGTCTTCTCTCGCACTCTTGGGGCGTACCGTATAGGTGCGAGAGGGACAGAGCGACGAGCACGACTCTCGGAATCAGTCTGCAGGCCCGCCGGGCCGTGGGACGAGGGCCGAGGACTCTGGGAGGACGACGGGAAGGTCGAGTCGGTGGTGCGGGTATATCGGCAAGGTGTTGGGACAGGGAGTCAATTTTCCATCCCTGCCGCGGGCCGGGGCGTGACGAGGGTCCGCAGGGCGCGGCAGGGCGTGGTCGGCGTGGCGCGGGACAAAGGACAAAGGAGTCGAAGGCCCGGACGGGGGCGGCCTGGCCGGAACAAAACGAGAAAGAAGAAAAACCCGCTGCCGCCGCCGGCCGCGCCGACCACATATTTGCGGTATTGTGCTGCCGAATGGACGGGAAGGGCTGACGGCAGGGGGGAGGGGAGGGGAGCATCGCCTTGGGGGATTAGTTGCGAGTCGAACGTAACGACTGCACTGGGGGCGGGGCGCTCCGGGGGCGGTTTGGGCAGGCGGCGATGTCCCCCGAGGCCGTGCGCGAGGTGGCAAGCGGCAACGCGAGGCAAAGCGCGGCGGAATGGACCAGAGCGCCAGAGCGGCCGCGCCAAAAGCGAACGGGCCGGCCAAAAATTGGGCCGTAATTGCATTGCCGGATAATGGTCGTATCGAGTGTGTCTGTGTGTGCACGTGTGTGAGTGTGTCAGTGTCTATGTGACTGTGTAAGCGCGCCGGGGTCGGCTGGCAGGCAATGCGGTGGTCTCGCATGGCACTCGCCACTCTGCCGGTGGGAAAAGCGCAAGTGAAGTGGGGCAGTGAGGTACTGGCCCGATGAATTTACGGCGTCTAATGGCGCCTAATAAAAGGTGGTGGGCCGTGCCGCCGCGAGGCTAGGCCCTGCCTCGCCCTGCCGCCGCGAGGCTAGGGAATTCCTCGCGTTTATGTCGTATGTAAATTGGCGGGCGCAGCGCGCAGGGCGCGGCTATCGATGTGCCCGCCAGATTGCGGTCACGCGTGCGCCGTGCGGCCGTGCGGCGTGCCGCAAGCGCGCGGTCGCGAGCTTTTACAACGAGGCGCCGCGGTCACCTTGACGAACAGCCGCTGGCGGAACAAACATAGTTTCGCGACTTGACCGACGTGCGATGCGGCGTTGCCGAATTGTCAGGACCACAGCGATCAGGGCGCGGGGCGGGGCGGAGGACCTCCCCGTCGACGACTGGCGCGGGCGCGCCTGACGGCTGGCAGTTCTGTCTCCGCGAGCCGCCGGCCGCTCGAGCTTCGCGGGCCTCGGCCTCGGCCTTGTCCGCTTGCTGCCCGGCCTCCACTCCACTGTGGCGTGCAGCTGGGGCTGGGGCGGGCGGGGGAGAGCGAGGTACGCGGCACGAATCCCAGCGGACGCGCCTCGGCCTCGCCCCAGCGCCCCCCTCGCCGTCCGGCGGGGCTAAACCAGAGGGCTAAACTTACTGACGGGGCCACAGCGGGCGTCTCTCTCTGCGCGGGCTTCCCCAGAGCAGGGCGCGCGGGGCCCAACACACCACACAGGGATTTGCACGTTCGCCGGGCGAGTCAGTGTGCCTGGCCGTGGCCTCCTGTGGCCTCTGGAGCCGGGGATTGTGGGCAGCGGGGCCACGGGTCGGCCGGGCTGCACGACGTAACGTGAAGCTCGCACCGTGAGACCCAGCACGGAACGCGTGTCCGGCTGGGTGCGCTGGCCGCCGTGAGGTTCTTCTCCGCCGGTAAAACGTGTAACCCTAGTGTAAGGACGGCCATGTTTCGTTTTGCAGTGCAGGCGGGCTTGTGTCGGGCCCGAATCGGCATACGTTTAGTTGAAGTCTAGCCCGTAATGGTAATGGTAATGTGAGGGTAGGCTGTCCCGCCACGCCGCCGTGTGCTGTCGCTGCCTGCCTCCACGGCGCTCCGAGCGCCCGGCGCGTAGGCAAGAAGGCGGCGGCGCCACACTGCAGAGTCGCGGGACTGCCTACCCTCACGGCGCTCCGAGACGGTGGCGGTGGCCAGTGGAGGCGGTGGCGGTGCGCCAGCCAGCACGGCAGGCTTGTTGCTTTAGGACCCTTTAGGGCCCTCCGGAGCCCTTGAGGTGCGCGGCGCGCCGCTCCCCGCAGTGGCGGCCCGGTTGTCTTAGGACGGGGCCTCGGGGCCGAGCCGGGCTGGACAGCGCAGGAGGAATATTTTAATCCGGACGAGAAGCGGAGCAGGTGTAGTGGAGGGATGGGGTCATGGAGTAATTGAATGCCGCCAGCTAGTTATGCACGCGGCCGGCAGGGCGGCCAGGCAGGCAGGCAGATGGCCAAGCAAGCAGGCAGGTAGGTGGACAGGCGGACAGGCAGGCAGGCAGGCAGTTGGACAGGCAGGCAGGCATGTGGACAGGCGGACAGGCTGGCAGGCAGGCAGGCAGTTGGACAGGCAGGCAGGCAGGCAGGCAGGCATGTGGACAGGCGGCCAGGCAGGCAGGCAGGTGGACAGGCGGCCAGGCAGGCAGGCAGGCAGGTGGACAGGCGGCCAGGCAGGCAGGCAGGCAGGTGGACAGGCGGACAGGCTGGCAGGCAGGCAGGTAGGTGGACAGGCGGACAGGCAGGCAGGCATGTGGACAGGCGGACAGGCAGGCAGGTAGGTGGACAGGCGGACAGGCTGGCAGGCAGGCAGGCAGGTGGACAGGCGGACAGGCAGGCAGGCGGCCAGGTCGGCATACCCCAGGAGTGAGGAAGGAGTGTCGCAGCGGGGCGGCGGGCGCTCGTAAAGGGGGCTGGGGCAATTTAATTCTTGCCTGCCCTCCCCCCTTCCGTCCCCCTTCCCCTGCTTGCGTTGCCGATCACAGTGCCGCGGGGCTAATGCTTCCTGGCTGCCTGCGTGCCGGCCTGGCATGGCGCCGCCGCGGTGCCGCCGCCGGTCGTCGCCGTGCTGGCGTCCTGGTCATAGACCTGGCCGGGATTCACGGCGCGGCGCGGCGCGTGACAGCAGTGACGGGGATCCCAAATTGATGGCGGTAGCGGCTGGGCGAGCGAGCGGGCCGAACGGCCGAACTGCAGCGCGCCCAAGCAGAGCGTCAGCGCGGCCACCGTCACAGTGACGAGGCGACAACCACGGCCAGCAGGGACCTTTTTTCCTTTTAATTTTTTTAGGACGCATTACCGAGATTGCTTCGGAATCACTCGGCCACGCTGCTCGCCGCCCGGGCGTACGCAGCGAGTTGCCGGTGTTTCGGGGCACGTCACGCCCCTTGAAGCCCCGCCACCCCTCGGCCTGGGCCGCGTCCTGGCAGAGGCCTGGCGGAGGCCACGCCTAATTCGCCCGTTTCCGGTGGGCTGGGCATACACGGCCTCGCACGCCACGCCACGGCCACGGCCTCGGCCAAGGGGTGGTGGATAGGTTCCTCCGGTGGATATCCGGTGGCGTCCGACCCGAGTGAGTGCCCGTGCCGACCAGCAGACTGATTCCGAGAGTCGGTTTCGTCGCTCTGTCTCTCCCGCACCTGATACGAGGCGCCTATGAGAGCGAGAGAAACAGGGTGACTTCGGAAACCCTCTGCTGCACCGCGCCGACGCCATTACGCGAAGGGTCGGCCCGGCGGCGCTGGGAACAACAGCAGCAGCGGCCGCCGTTAGGTTCACGACGACCCGCTTTCGATAAGCGGCCCACGCACAGTGGGCCAGAGGACCGGTGGAGGCGGCCAAAACCCTTGACGTGTTTTGAGCTCCAGAGTCGCTGAACAGGACTCGAACCGAGCGTGTGACCCCACCAATGGATTCCTCGTTCGGAGAGCAATCTATTGGTGGGGTCGCACGTTCGGTTCGAGGCCTATTTAGCGACTCTGGAGCTCAAAACGCGTTTAGAGTTTTGGCCACCTCCACTGGTCTTCTGGCCCACTGTACCACGCACCCACAGCCCCGACCGCCCTGGCCGGACTGGCAGCCAGGCCGGCGGCGTCCTGGCCGAGCTGGCAGACAGGCTGGCTGCTCTGCCATGGCTCTGCCGAGGGATGAAATTCATTAGCTGTCGCCTCGTCGTGATGAATGAATCGCGCGCCGCGTGTTGTGGTGCTGCAGACCTGATTCCGAGAGTCGTTTTCGTCGCTCTGTCTCTCTCGCACTCGTGCGGGGCGCCCCCAGTAGGTGCGAGAGAGACAGAGCGACGAAAACGACTCTCGGAGTCAGTGCGCCGTGGCGTTGTGGCAGACAGGCTGCGTCCGAAGCGCGTTCGCAACGCCACAACGCCGCGAAGGCCCGAACCGCAATGGGCCGCCAGCAGAGCGGCGCGCCACCGCGCACGCAGCCCGGCTAGGCTGGGGCAGGCTGGGGCAGGCTGGGCGGCAGGCAAAGTGATGGTGTGTCGGACCGCGGACCGCGGCAAGGGGGACACCACCGCGCCACCGCGCCACCGCAGCGCGCCTAATGCACGCCCCGTCCCGTCTGCAGGGAAAAGGGAAAAGAGGGAAAAGCGAATAAAGGGACGACGGATAAAGCCGCCGATGCTTTCCGCACGCCGCCGGTCGGCAAAGGGACGGCTCGGTGGGCACGGCCGCGCGGACAGTAGACTGCTTCAGAGAGTCGTTTTCGTCGCGCTGTCTCTCTCGCACTCATAGGGCTGTCCGTATAGGTGCGAGAGAGTCGGAAACACTCTGAATCAGTCTGCAGGTGGGAAACTGGTCCCCTAGCCTTGGGTCCGCTAGCCTTGTTGGCCTCGGCGGGGTTGGACCGCAGCACTGCAGACGCGTAGTGCACACCACCAACACCACCCATGACGCAGCAAAGCCCGCTCGCTTCGCACGCCGCCCTCGTCTTTTTGTCATGGATTATTTACAGCCGCCGCAACGGCCGGCCCGAGTCTCTCCACTCCACTCCACTGCCCCCGTCCCGCAGTCGGCC